CGAAGAAGTGGCGCGATTCGGACCATAGCGTTGAGTAGCGTTCGTCGTTTCGCCAGAGATCTTCTAATTGAGATGAATAGGTGACGAAATAAAAAACGACATATCTTTACGTTGAATTGAGACGAAATAAAAAATATGATAAATCCACTTTAACATGTTTTATGAACATGAAGAGTTTGGCTTTTATTTACATAATCCAAAACGGGGATTGATTTGCAATTTATTTTAAAAAGTTTTGCAAACTTTCTACGTATGATTATTATTATTATTATTTTAATTTTAGACTAATGAATTGAATTCTTAGACTAAAAAAAAGAAATTGAGCACTAGCAACACAGGCTATCGGCTCTAATTTAAATAAATGGATATTAGATAATAAGCTTAGTAGTATTAATAAAGTAAAATATTGAATTGATATTCTGTTCTGAAGCTGATTGTAGAATGTTCAAAGGGTTAATCGTTCCAAATGCAATACTTCTAGCCAAGGAAAAGTTGAGGCAGTCGCAGAGAATGTGCTTTATAGTAAGAGTTTGTCCACAACAGCAGATTGGGGGAGAAGACTTCTTCAGGATCCATTGGTGACTTGCAATTGTATGACCAAGGCGAATTCTCGAAAATGTTTGGATCTTGGTTTTCTCAACATTTGTTGGATATAGAGGTGGAGTTAATTGAGGGTTAATGCAAGAGTAGTGTTGATGATGGTATTGTAAATTTCCTTCTGCAGTTTTCTCTTTAACTTTTCTTCCAATGTATCTTTGAAGATCCAACTTTTCCATGACATCATCCATAATTAGAGGAGCAGAAGCAGCATACTTTGCCGCTCGATCAGCCTGCTCATTTCCTAATAAACCGATGTGACTTGGTACCCATAATATTTTAATTTTTCCGTCGGGTGTAGTAATTATATTCCTTAATTTGTTGATGGTGCTCCATCTCGAAATCGAAGGATTCCGTATAGCTTTTAATACAGACAAACTGTCAGTAACAATGACGGTTTTGAGTTTGTTTTTATGGGCAAGGTTGGCAGCGTGAAGGATAGCTCTGGCTTCGGTTATGAAAGCTGAAGTGCTTTCGTGAAATATGTGGTTGAGAAGAACACGTCCTGTAGCATCTACCACCGCATAAGCAGGAGGCAGATCAGGAGATTTTGAGCCGTCTGTGTACAAAAGATTCCAACCAGTATTGTCCAATACTTGGGTTTTCTCAGCTATTAGATTCTGGAAGACGTAATTTGGAGTATCTTCTTTCTTGTGCATAGACAGTGAGATGTCAAAAGAGCAGTCTTTCAAAATCCAGGGAGGTTTAACATCAAAAGAGCGGGAAATTTTTAAGGGAATGTTCAATTCCTTTGCGATGCACAAACAATGGACAATTGCAGATGGTGACTTTGGAATTTTTTTCGCAATAATAATCTTTCTTACGTCATCACCGAGAATGGATTTGTTTGAATTAAGAAGCTTAGGGACTATTTTAGCTTTTAACTCATACAGTCTATTTTCTAAAGTTGGGAGACCAGTTTCAATTATAATATTATTTATGAGCGTCGTCCGAAAAGCATAACAACTTGCTCTAACGGCTTGGTGATAGACCGGTTTAAGGATGTTAATATTAGATCTACAGCTATTGCCATAAATTATCAAAGCATAGTCAACCTTGCTTAAAACAAGCATATTGGTAAGATAAGCGTTAATATGCGCATGGCTTCTCCAAGCAACGTACTGTTTGAAATTTACCCTTGTTAAAAGGGAGTTTTTTAACCGAAGGCAGTGTGCTTTCCAACGATAATTGTCTGAAAACGTGAGCCCGAGAACATGGAGCGTCTGCACATTTAGTACTGGTAAGTCGTTAATATGCATCAGTAGGTATCATTTGTTTTCGACAAATGTGCATTTTTTTTGATTTTTGTATAGAGATTATAGCTCCTGACGAGTTTGCCCATGTGGAGATCTCACATGCAATAGATTCGAGGATGTTGATTGCTTTCGTGTTGTCTTTTTCTTTTGTAAAAATGTATACATCGTCCGCGTAGAGACAATGTTCCACTCTTGGTACACGGCAAAGAATTTCGCTAATTTCGTTGAAAGCGATCTGGAAAAGCGTGACAGAGAGAGGAGATCCTTGCGGAATGCCATTCTTTAGCGGAAAGGAATCAGAAAGATGATTGTTGATTCTAACTTTGAACCGCCGATGCGACATGAATGATTTGATGTAGTTGAAGAATTTGGGTCCAACATTCCATGATTTCAAGAGTCTTAAGATAACATGAAGACCAACTCATTGAAATCAATTGAGAGAATTGTTACGCGATTTCGTTCGGAAATTGCTTTGCTTGTAAAATAATCAATATGTAAGAGAGCGACGATGCATCCTCTACCCAGCTTGAAACCAACTTGTTGCTTTGTTATCAGGTTCTTGGATTCAAGAAACCAAGATAATCTAGATGCCATAATCTTCTCTAAAACCTTAGGGAGGCAAGATAAAAGAGAAATTGGGCGATAATCAGATGCGATGGAGACATTTTTTGACTTTGGTATTGGAACAACTGTTGCCAGTTTCCACATGTAGGGTATATGGCCAGTCATAAACACCGTATTATATAGGTCCAGTAATTTCTTTTTACTAGACTTAGACATAGCACTGATCATTTGGTATGAGATGCGGTCTAGACCAGGCGTCTTGCCCTTCAAATTGAAGAGACAACTTCCAAGTTCTGAGGTAGATACGCAATTTTCCAGGATTTCCTTTTATTTTCAATGAAAGCACTGGAGAAGTTGCTGTCAGATGAGTATTCGCACCACACTTTTCCAAAGTAATTAGAAATCTCATCTGCGTCAGTTAAAGTTCCATTGGGAGTGCAGATGGCAGAAATTTGGTTCAGGTTTGAAGTCCCTTTAAGTCTGTTGATTTTGTTCCAGACAACCTTCATTGATGTATTTCTGTGAATTCGTCTCGAGAGAGAATAAACTGTAGAGTTCTTGCTGAGAAAACGATTGCGAAGGTGGAATATAGAACGAAAGCACTGTAAATTTTATATTTAACATTATTTGTATCGCTACGGCTTGTATATTTGAGCTTAAATTTATGCGTTTGTGAGGTATACTTGATTTTATAAAAATACCTACTCCTTGTTTGGAATATGAATTTTGATCAGCATTCGTGAAGTATCCAGTATATGATTTGGGTGGAATAGGATTAAAAGAGCTTCTACAATGGGTGTCTTGAAGCGATACAAAGGTTGGATTAAAATCACTTATGAGTGTACGGGGTTCATCAAAATTATTAATAAGTCCCTTAATGTTCCATTGTAGAATTTTAAAAACTTTATTTAATTGTAATGACATGTAAGCAGAGTGGAGGGAGGGTTAAGTTGACATGTCAGCGTCTCCGTCGAGAAGGTCACTATAGGAATTTTTCGTGAATGATTTATTCTTACCAGCAGAATAATCTGTATTTAGGTAATTTGGTACATTTGAAGCGCAACGGGTTGACGATTAATGGATGAAAGAATGGATTCATTAACACTTGTGATTTGTTGAGTAAAGTTGAGAGCTGGAGATTCTGGAGAATTTGGTATATTAGATTTTAGCATATGTGTTGTTGTTTTGATTTTTTCAATATTTGCAGTTGCTTTGGTTTTTTCAATATTATCTTTGGCAAGTGATGTAACTGGTTTCGCAATATAATTTTTGGTTAATGGTGGAACATGTTTTTCATTGGAAGCAGTTGCAGTTAAAGTCTTACTAGGCTCGATTTGCGAGGCAACAGCAGCATAGGTATTACTTTTGCCAATTCCATGGGCTACAGATGGATTTCTTTCCCGGTATGTGCGTCGCGCTTCGCCCATGTTACAGTAATTTTCTGTTTTGATTTTTAATATTTCACGCATCTGTACAAAACGTGGGCATTGTTTGTCTAACGCTGAGTGTTGATCATTGCAATGAGAATGACCACAGTTAGCACAAGATGCAGCATTAGTGCATCTTTTTGCCGTATGACCCAGGCGTTGGCAATTTTTACACCTCATAGGAATTGGGATGTATAGTTCTACTTTACATTTATACCACGCCACATCAACTGTTCGCGGTAATCGATAACGATCAAAAGTTAAAATAATCCTTCCTGTAGGAGAGCGTGTTTTTCCGTCATCATTCAGTTTGGTTAATTTATATACTTCAGTCACTCCTTGAATGCCCATTTCGCGAACAATTTCATCTTCCGGCACATGCTTTAAGCAAGGGACATAAATTAGGCCTCTAACTGAGTTAAGTTTCTCATGCAGTTTAGCGGAAATAGCACATAGATTAGCTAAAGATTTAGACTTTATGAGCTTTTCGGTTGCGCGCGGGTTCCTAGCGAGGACCAGTAAATTCCCATCGCGTAGAATCGAGATGGAGTCGATGTATGTTGTAATGCTATCTAGAGCTTTTTTTATAGCAAAAGGACTAATTTGGGAAATTGTTATTCGAGCATCGGTTGAAGAAATAACAATATATTTTTTATCAATAGGGATTAAATCGCTGATCGGCAACACAGGAAAATCTGAATTTTTCTCTTTTTTTTGGGGGGGGGATGTATCACTTAATAGATAAAATCTATTCGAGTTTTTGTCTGGCGGCCCCGGGGCCATTATGCCTTATTGTTGTCTATTGCTTATTATTTGTGAAATAACCACTCACTTGAAAAGGTTTGGGAACTGTGGAAGAAGGTTGGGAACCACTAAAGAAAAGTGTCAAATGTTTTAAATTTTTTTTATTTTGTTTTTTTGTTTTCTATTTTTTTTTTATATAGACGAAACAAAAGCACATACGCGATATCCGCGTTAACCAGTTTTAGCAATAACACTGAAAAGACAGAAGTTAAATACACAAAAACACCGAAAACACCGAAACAATTGAAAAAACGCAGACGAAAAGAAAACACGCACTACACTGAACACAAGTCGACTCAAATCCGTAAATTCAGATGTTAACACATTAGTATTTTATGTAAATTAAAAATAAAGTTATGTATATTTGAACTTTGAACAAGACTATGCCACATGCCATATGTTACGTGAAACAATTCAAGTGCTGCTTGCGATATTCCCTGGTCATGTAGGCCTTTTGGTGATTAGAATTTCAATAGCAGAACTAGTAAAGCCGTGGTCGAAGTGTTATTCCCCACGTACACATACAGTATGATGCAAAGAAAAATTGCAATTAAAATAAACGGTCTTTTTCTTAATTGAAATCTTGCGTAAATTTTGGGTCACTGTTATGAATAACGTTTGCACCAAGGTTTTGGATTTTGTTAGTGTGTATGTACACAATGTGTATGTATGTATGTGTAAAGTGATGAGGAAACCGCTTCCTATGAATTTTAGTAATAAATAAATAGTAATATTAAGAAATGACGCAAGAACTAATAATTTTTACAGATACACATATTCTCGTGCACACACACACACACACAGAGGCTGGCAGGCAAATAGCAAGCAAATTATTCAATTTCTATTGTTTCTCACTAATTTTTAACAAAATTTTTTTGTTAATTATATTTTCCAATAGAAATGAATTTGCTGATTTAAAATCTGTTATTAAGTCTAGTACCAAGTTATCTATACGAGATTTGAGGAATTTGTTGGTACTACAATTAGAATTTGACATTCTGTGGGCACTAGCAACTCTTTCCAATCCGTAAGAGAATAAAAAATCTCACTCAATGGGTAGACTCCCCTATTTTCTAACTTAGCATCTTACCTAAACATGGACTAATTAGTTTCAAACAAAAACTATGTGTTTTTTGTTTATGCAAAGTCGGGGGCCAGTGTTGTCAACGTTTCTGCAAAGATTAGGGCCTTGATGTATCCAATCTATCTTCAAACGTTTTAATCGCAAGCCGTTTAATTTACTTTTCCCGTAGTTTTTCTTCAGGTTTCTCGCCAATCGAGTATTTATTGAAGAATTTGGAAGATCTGTCCTTTTGAGCGCGGTTGCGTATTCTCACATTTTTAAAGCGATAAGTAATCGAGCAAAAGATTTTATTATCATTCTTTACGTTCGGGGTTCTCAACCAACGGAAAACATCATTCTTTGCTTTTAGGAATTCAACAAGAGGGAAGTAGGCTCACCAAGCTAAGTTAAGCTCGGGGAAGAATTTATACTTAACATTATAAATTATTTCGCCAAAGAGAATTTATGCCCAGCAGCAGAAAATTAAAATTACGGTATGGAAGACAAAGACGATTCCGTGAAAAAAGTGCGAGCAAATATAAAAAAACTGCTCCTGAAGAAAACCAACCAAGTTGTACAAGCGTAGCTTAAAAGATGGCTATCACAGATGAATTAAGTGACGTAACTAAACAATTAATATTCAAAGTTTCTATCGAATCGTTTACGAAAATTATCAATTTTTTTGATTGAAACCGGTAGGAAAATGGTTTTAAACATTTCAACAAAAACAAGAACAAGAAAATGTGCAAGTAGAATATAGTGGCAAGGTTCTCATGTGTCTGAAAAGCAACCTTTGTTTTCGGTTGGCTTGGCATCGCCTGTGTGATGCGATTCAGTATTGGTTGATGACTGTAGCTTTTTTTGTATCACATAGCCAGAACAGCTGCTAAATACACTCTCCCCCACTTCTCAAATTATAAGAAAGCAAAGTAGTTTATTCCAAATTCCGCGTTCAAGCTTGGAAATTGGTTTGGCTTGCTTGGCCAGCAGCAACTGGCAAAGTTTTGAACGTATATGGCAAGGCATTAATAGGCAATACGGACACCGTGCAAGCTAAACATGTTCCAAGAATGTTTTTGAATTCTGGCAAATTAAAGAAGAAGTAAACAATCTATCTTCGAATTCTGGCAAATTGAAGGAGAAGTAAACAATCTATCCTCGAATTCTGGCAAATTAAAGGATAAGTGGATGAGCGACCATTTGTTAGAATGCAAATATTGAAAATATTTATTCTCCTCCAATAGGATGGCTTATATATCCACTTAAACAAGTAAGTGTATAGAAATAAACCAATGCACAGCATTGAGCAAAAACCTGATAAGCTTAGATCAAATTTTACGCTAGTGAACTTACACCACCACATCAAAACGTTTGGGTTCAATTCTCATAATGCTAACCCCAGTCTGCTTATCACAGTTCATTATAGCATGAGTAATTGTAGCAAGTTAGCCCCTACACAAAGATGTATTCAAACATGAATTCTCAGTCATAGAATGCAACAAAACAACGTATACTAAAGATATTAAAAATCATAGTATTTGGAACCTGTGCTTGGATTACTGAAGTCGGTATTAAATGATCAAATGAAACTGCTACACCTATGATGTAAAACCGGCAGTCACCAGGCAAATTATTATGTTTATTAATTTGTATTTCAAAGATATTTCGCGAGAGATGTTAAACTTTGCTTTGGCATACTAAAATCTCAAATGCTTCAATCATCCGTTTAGCTTTAGTATTTTGAATCAGCTGCACATCGTTTATGCAAACAACAAAACATATTGGCAAGGAAATAAACATCAAAACTGTATTATGTACAAATTCAACAAGAGTCATCTTGCCACAACTGCTACAAGTATCAGGCCAACAACAAAGCACATAGACCCTCGTTAAGCAGAGTCATCAACGCAAGGATCTTAACGTTTTTGCCAAACAGCTGAATAGAAAGGCAAATGCCAAGCTTATAATTTAAAATTGTGTTGTCTTATATCATCTGCCAATTCGAGAGGATTTTCAAAAACTGTTTGATTAATTGTGATTTTTAATAATAATTAATAAGCGGGCCTGAAATCCACCTCAATCTAGAAGCATCTGAGAGTAATTAAATGAGCTAGTCTGAAATCCACTTGTTACAATGTTTTTGCTTTAAAGATTCCACCTCAGCGGTCAATTTAATGTTACGCTCTCTGGTTTCATGTAGTATTTCAGCTACACTCGCTTTGCTATTAACACTTGTTGTCATTTCGCTGTTGTCATCTTCGCTGGCAAGACTACCAGAGAAATTGGACAAACTACTCCGTTGCAAGGCTGCATATCGCGATAAAAATTTCGCTTATGAAGAGAATTATTAAACGGGGAATAAAAAAATGTTAGAAATTTTATTGGTTTCAGACCCGTATGGCGCGTAACATAAGTGCCAAATTTTACATCGGTGCGATATTTCACTATAGTCACCCTTCATGAAATAACATTAACGTTAACAAACCGACAAGCATATTTGGCATTAATATTGGTTGGTTAGAATTGGATTTATAAGAAAGAACAGCTTAAGAACAAAAGAAATTACATACAAAATTGTTTAGCTGCAAACTAAAAAAGAAGACAAATTTATTGGTCAAAAACGTTTGAGTTAGCTATAAAATAAAAATTGCATGAGAAAGGTTCCTTACGACAGAGGAAACAAGAAGGGTTGAGCGGGAAGCTTTCAGTTCCCTTATGTCATATGAAAACGTTCAAGTTTTTCGAAAATATTTGTTAAATTACATAAACAAATTTTTTGTTATTACTTTTTCATAATTGAAATAAATGTGTGCATATATTACACATAATATATATACAAAAATAAAAAGAATTTGATATGAATAAGAAAATTAGAGCAGAAACATAAAAGAAGTAGCTAATCCCGTCGCCGGCATGTCGCCCTCAAACGGTAAATCTATTAAACTGGGGCTTCTAAACTCATAAAACCAACAACAACTAAACAATTTAAAAAAAACAGAAAATTCCACATTAAAAGTTTACTTATCGCGCTGCTCTGTTGGTGAAGGGAAATCCATCACTATCGGAAGATTTGAACGAAGGGCCAAATTTCAGTGCCCGTTTAACTCCGTCTGTTGTTGCCTATAATTTTCTAACTCTGCAATTTTTCCTCCAGCTTGCTTCAAAGATTTTCTTTTATAGCACATATTCTTTTTATTCGATTCTTATGGTCCGCTCAAATCCAAACCAAAAAAAAAAAAATCTAAAATAAAATAACTGGAATGAACATTGTGGTTAACTTGCTTCCGCCAACCTGCTGCTGATTTTTTGGAAAACCCATCGAATTTAATTTACAGCTTATCCATTCCAGTTCCAGCTCTTCATCCACCTGTGCACAGCTTTGGTTGTAGTTTTGCGCCATTTTGGAGATGGCCAGCAGTTTGGCAACTCTCCACGGCCAGCACCAATCAACCCAACCGTAACCAAATCGAAAATTGCCAATAATCTACAGTCAGACAGTAGACTTTAATAGTAGTAGACATTAAGTAAGCATTTCTGGTCAAGTGCTACATATATTATCTTTCTTTTTGTCAACAGATAATAGGCCATGGCCCACTCTGTAAGCTACCTTCCCTATGTTCTCCTTCGGCCGAATGGGAAACCCCGCTTTCCCCTCACACCAGAAAACAACTTTAGCACATATTTATATATTATTTTCTTTTTAATTCATATCACTTTCAACGGCAAAAATAATCTCTATGTTAATTAAAATGGGACGGAAGTTAGAATTGGGCAGTGAGCATCCACCTTTAGTTAAAACCATAATGAGTTCACAATACGAAGGCCAGCTACATCGATCAATATAAACGTGACCGCTTCGTCGAAATTGAAAAAGTCTAATATTAAATTATATTTCCCATCGTAGAATGAATGTACCTTAACTTTTGTGATTTCTTTTATATAGTAATAAATCACACTTTAAAGATTCTATAATATGTATATATTTACTGGCCGCGCTTAAAGTATTGAGCCGGACTCCTTTTTTCGAATTCCTAAAATCGCTGAAATTAAGACCAAGAGTTTAGTTTGATTTGCAAACAACAAGCATTGAGAATATTGTAAAACCTTTATCAAATAATATTTTCTATAGTAAATGTCAATCTAAAAGTTGACTCAAAGTAAGATTCATTGGGTCGATATCATTGCTTAGTACTTTACGAAGGAAAACCAACTTGGTCCCAACTTTCTTCTTATCACTCGTCTCAGATTAAGTTATAAAATCAGCCAAATCGGTTAAGATTTTCGCTCACAATTAGATGAAAAACAGATAATATTTTCCTTTTTCTACAAATTATGTGGTGATACTTTTAGAGCGTGAAAGTTAATTTTAAAACTTCCCTTTCCTTATCAATTTAAAAAATATGGTTGCATTTAATATTTATTTTTTTAATCAAAGCGCTTCACTATTATGCTCCTTTTTTGTACCCACTGTAGAAAACTATATTATCAAAGATTTGTAAAGCATTGAAAAGCCTTCCGGAGATCTTTTACTATGTGTACAAATAAATGAATCTTTGCCTAAATTTTGCAATCAAATATCAGCTGAATCAGCTAGCGATGAGCACGTCGCTCAAGTTTTTTTTTCTCACGCTTTTGAATCTTAAATACCGTTTCCATTGGCCGTTTAACTCTTAATAGCTACGTGCAGTAATTTTAAGAAAAGAAAGTCAAATTTCTTTAAAGCTTGTGACTGCAAACTAATTTGTCTGCGAATTTAGTTAATCCTCTTCGGAATGCCAGAAGTCGGAGATTAGCTAAGAGCTTAAAAATAACCTAAGAAAAAAAAAAGCAAAAACATGACAAAGAGGTACGTATTGTTTAATATACCGTGTAAGACGAAGTGACAGCATGGTATGTATCTGCATACAGCACAAACCAGTCTAGATTTTTCATCGGAACATAAATAGTTCTTAAGAAAACGTCATACCCAAGATCCAAATTACAAATTTCCCTCAATTTTCAAAGTATGTTTTCATATTTTGCGCTTTTATTCAAAGAATTACAATATTTAAATTTTATTACATTTAAGACTTAACAAATAACAACGTGAAGGTCGTGAAGGACTGACGGCATCATCTCCATTATCGTCTTCTCCTCCGCCACCGTTAAAGGAATTGTGATGGCGTCTTTGGAAGTTGATGGCATACTTAACACTAAAACTACCGACATTTCATGTAATCCTACCTTGAGCGGTCAATTGACCGCTTCAAAAGAACGTATGTATCTTAGTAAAGTAGATAGTAAACAAAATATTTTTCTGATGCTACAATAAAAACTCGCTTTTCGATGTTGTATGTTTTATATACTTTTATGCATTTTCATCATATTTTTTACAAATTACAGCATTTTGTATTCTACATTTCCCACGTGCGTATTTTTTACATTTTATACAAATTTTGTTTGTTTTATTGACTTTACAATATCTTATTTGACAAGATCTCCGTTCAGAAGAAACAGTATTTGTATTTATTATTGTTTTTGATGAGCATTCTTTGCTTATCTATTTCTCTTTCTGATATTCGGTCCCAAATTCTACTGCCCATTGAAATAAAAACTTTTGCCTCGATATTTCCTCACCCGTCGTATCTTTATATAAAATCCAAGCATTTATCCCGGCTAAATCTAAGATATTGAAAAATACCTGTAAAGGCCATCTTTAACACTTAGATTTTACACTATATTTTCTGGGCATTTGATCGGTTACATCCACACCGAATTTTGTACTATTGTCTCTGGTATACGGGTGTCATTTTTTTCCAATTTCAATTGAACTAAGTATCAATACTTTTTCATTGGGTTTAGCTTTATAAACTATAAATATTTATTAGGAGAAACCTGCATAGCTGAATTTCTTGGTCACATGCAGCGGAAAATGGACGACCTGTATCAGTTGCACTGGACGAATTCCGCAAGTCCTAAAGAACTATTGCAAAATGAGCAACCAATAGAGATGGAAAACACTGAATGCTACGCCTGTGAAGAAATAATTTTAGGATATAAAGACAAGTACTACTGTTATTTTACAGGGGAATTTGTGGGGTTCATTCATAGGGAATGTAGGAAATCTTTTCAATTCAAGCTACCCTACTTTCCTGTTAATTTTCGTAATTTAAGTAGGTATGATATTCATCTCTTTATCACGCAGTTAGGTTCTAATTTGTCGGTTATACCTTGTAACAAAGAATTGTATATATCAATTACGAAGAGAGTAATGAAAGGGAATAAGATAAAATATTTAATGAATTTTGTGAATTCTAATCGATTCTTAAACTCTAGTTTAGAGAAATTGGCCAAATATTTGCAGCCCAGTGAGTTTAAAGTGTTAAAGAAAGCATTTAAGAATCCGGAAAAATTTGCGTTAATGAGTCGTAAGGGTGTCTTTCCGTACGATTACGTAAGCGACATTAAGAAGCTTGATGATCCAATTTTACCAAGCCGAGAGTGCTTCTATAATTATTTGTCCGATCGCGAATGTAGTGAAGCTGACTAAAATTTCGGAAGAAGGGTGTCGGACGCATTCAAATGTCACACCCTTAAAGATTATATGGTTCTATATCTCGAAAGCGATGTATTAATACTAACCGATGTTTTCGAGAATTTCAGGATGTTTAGAAATATATAAACTAGATCCTTGCAATTATGTTACAGCACCACCTCTTTCTTGGGATGCCATGCTGAAATATACTAAAGTTGAAATGGAACTAATTGTGGATCCTGAAATTCATACGTTTTTAAAAACTAGTATTCGAGGTGGTATTACTCAGTACACCCAAAGGTTGTCCGAGTCGAATAATAGATTTAATGAAAATTATGATGAAAGCAAGTCTGAAATATATTTGGCCTATATGGCCCATATTCAAACTTCCAATTTTTAAGCGAAAGTGAGGTAAAAGATTTCGATATTTACCCCATTGATATCGAAGGAAGTAGTGGTTGCATTTTGGAGGTTGCCTACCTTTCTGTGCAGACAATAAAATTCCTCCTACTAGCAAGTATAAAAAACTCATAGCAGATTTAACTCATAAAATGAATTATAAGATTCATTTAAACAATCTGCTTCTCTGCTTGCAACACGGGTTGCAATTAAAATGCATTCACAGAATACTAAAATTAACTCAAAGGGCTTGGTTAGAGCCCTACATTAGTTTAAACACCAATAGAAGAAAAGTTGCCAACAATGAATTTGAGAAGAACTTCTATAAGCTAATGAATAATGCTGTGTATGGGAAAACCATGGAAAATGTTGAAAATCGCCGAGACGTTCGCTTAGTAAATAGTTATGAAAATAGAAGGAATTCTGAAGGATATAGAGCTCTCATAGCCAAACCTAACTTCAAGGGCATCGAAGTATTCGATAGTGGGTTATGGGGAGTTGAGCTAAGTAAATTGGGAATTATTCACGATAAACCGATATATGTGGGGGTAACTGTGTTAGAACTCTCTAAGTGGTTGATGTATGATTTTTATTATAACTTTTTACTTAACCAGAGTGAAACAATAAAGATTATATATATGGATACAGATTCATTTATACTAGCGTCTGATGGTAATATATATGCCATTATTAAAAATAATCCTAATAAATTTGACACGTCAGATTACCTACCCGGCAAAATGCATAATATAATTCCTAATAACAAAAAATTATTAGGTCTGATAAAAGACGAGAATGCCGGGAGAATCATGACAAAGTTTGCAGGTTTAAAAACCAAAGCGTATGCATACACAGTCAATGATGGGAACAATAAAGAAAAAGAAGTGAAAAAAGTTAAGGGGATAAAAAAATGTGTAACCGACAAATTAAAATATAGTGATTATAAACACTGCGTTATAAATAGACAACCTTTTTATGGTGAACAGTGAATTATAAGAAGCAGATCTCACAGATTGTATACAGAGATCTGCAAAAAAATAGCGTTCGATTATTTAGATGATAAGCGGTGTGTTTTAGTTGATAAAATTTCCACACTAGCGTGAAGAAATTATAAAATAGGTAATCAAATAATAAATAACGATGTATAAATACTATGTACATATGAATAAATGTAAAATAATTATAGAGTAAATAATACAAATATGTAAATGAAATGTAATTACTATGTATGCAGGAATAAATGTAAAAATTCATACGCAATGCAATTTTTTTGGATTTTCATTTTATTTAGATTTTAATAATAATAATAATAGCAAACATTTTCGGTTGGTCTTATACATATTTATCGAAGTAATTGAGTTTTATTAATCCATGAATTATGAGTTTGATCAAACCCTAGCCACTTCACAAAAAATTTGTTTCTCTGTTTCTTCAATATTTTTTCCACTAAATATGCATTTTCGTCACGAACTTTTTGCATTTCGTATTCATAAGATGATCCTAATATTTCATTTTCCTTATAGTCCTTTAGAATGTAAGTAACAGTATCCGTAATTTTTATTCTATTGATCTGAAATTTTTCGGTAGTCCAGTTTGGTTCATAGCCTTTAAAAAATACTCCTCTAAATTTGCTAATTCTAACATAATCCCCACTTTAAACTTTGGTCTTGGAAATGTTTTAGGGAAATTATAAACAGGTTATAATATCTGCTTCTCTTTGTGTTTATTGACTTCATTTGGTTTCATTTTTATTATTCTGCGATGTGTATTATTGTATTTGGCTAGTAATGTTTGCAGGTTGTTTATCCATTTATATTACCATTCATACTAAACATTTTCCACATTAAGTTTTTTAATGTTCTATTAAATCTTTCACATATAGAGGCTTTCATATGAGTATATGTGTGATAATGATTAATTTGATAATATTTCACCAAACTTTTAAGATCTTTATTGAAAAATTCCTTTCCCTGATCAGTTTGAATATTTCTTGGAGATGTATTTCTTCGTTCCAATACTTGTTTTATAGCTTTAACTATGTCTGAAGAACTTTTAGATTTTACTGGTTCCGCGAAAGCATATTTAGAAAATACATCAATTCCAACCAAAAGGTATTAATATCCATTTTTTAGTTTATGAAATGGAATTAACTCAACTAAATCTATTTGCCATGTATCATTAATTCCTTTTTGAATAAGTCGCCTTCGAACAAAATTTTTTCTGACTGGTTTGTAAATCTCATTAACAACTTGAATTTTACTCATTTTTTACACATTTATTTTTTTATCATTCTCAAATGTAGCTTATGAATCTTAATATCCTGCCTAATCTTGATTGACATCTTCCGAGAAAATTCAAAACTTAATCTTAACAAATCAATCTCAATATCAGGGTCGATGGATATGGAAATATCAGCCAATTGAACATCAGTCTCATTTAATTCCACGCACTTTGGTAAAAAATGATTGTAATAAAAGAACGAGATTTGGTTTTATAATTTAGTATTCCAGCATAGGAATGTTGATAAAAAAATTCCAGCGCGAGTTATTAATGTCCACGTTTCAGCATCAAGTTTTATTCTATGCCCTTTTTGTTTAATAACCAAAAGACATTGTCCATCTCGATTATATTTAAAATTGCACCTAATGTTGTCTAGAGTTTGATAACCTAGAATGCTTTCAGGTTCTATAAAGTCGATTCAATCTTAGTTGTATGTATTCCTTGTAGGCCATTAAATGAATCCTTTGATCGCGGGTGAAACCAATAAAATTACATTTATATTCTTGCAGACGTAAAAGTGGTTTACAGTTTCTTGAGGGTGAAAAACCACATTTGATTTTAGTTTTTAAAACCGACGACATATTCCAAACCAAATATTAATTGACGGTCTTAATTTCTTTTTGGTTTAAGCATGTTTGCGATGGCTTAGGGGTGCATTTGCAACTTGGTCCTGTACCGGTTGTAAGTGAGCTCCTATGCTGATAGTGTACATGCTTTTTTTTTTCTTTTTTCTTTTTCTTTTTTTTTTCTTCTTATTTGTTTTATTATGCTTATACTCAATTTTATTGTTAATTAATATTAGTTTTGCATTAAGAGCCTATTGAACTCGACTGTTATTTGTTTAGTTGAGTTTCTAGTATAAGTGGAATAAAATAAATAAATAAATAAATAAATAAATGCGGAGTTTTCTGAGCACTTGGCGATATGTCATCCATTTATTGAAACGACACAACTAGTACTGAAAATGATATGAAATCTTTTAGAATATAAACTGAAAGATTATATAAAATCAGCTCAGTATTTATCAGTAACTCATCAAACCATGTCCAGCGTAACTAAAAGTACGTTCGCTCTTATTGACTTCCAGTTAACGGGTATCCACTATCACCTGAAGTATGAAGATACATAGTGCTTAAGTTATTGCGCTGCTTACCAACCTGCATTACTTTGATCGTCATCTCAAATGTCTTCCAGGAAGGCTCTTCCATGCGTGCCAGTCGCCGTTTGATCCCGAATATATAAAATCAATGGACAACAGTTTCATCTCGTGGTCGCAAACCTATGAATAAATCACTTATATGAACATACAAGAAAACGTACCCGAATATTAACCACCATTCCATTTAAACTGTGTTTGCTGTCTACGCATCCAATCACTTCAAGAAATGTCTAGAATGTATATTGTATAACACAAAATATTAATACTTAACAATATATTATTTGCCTTTGACAAATTCAAAGGTTTTTTTTTTGTTTGTCGAAATAAAATGAACTGAAAAAAAAAAAATTCTTTAATCTTAAAACAAAAATGTCACCTTTTTTGCGATTTTTGTTTCGCGATTAATTCATACTACTTTCGTCAGTAAATTATTTTCTTTTTGTATATAAGTGATAAATGGATAAGGTCTGTAAATGAAAGACCTTTATGTCCAGTAACGTTATGAGTTTTTATCACACCATCTTCTTAAGATTTCAGCGTGTCCAAACAAAAAGGATGATAACAGTTAAAAAAAAAAAAAAATGTCGATCACGTGAAAGTGATTTATCGATGATGCAGAGAGATTTATCTCTTTCGATAGGCTACAAATCCAAAGATGATGACCAAAAATGATTTGATGAAATGAAATGATGATAACTCTCTCAATTGGATGATGTACAAGTTATAATAGTCAGAAGAGTACCATCCGTTCTGGAGTTTAGACCAGAAGATTAAGCTATAGGAATTGTAGATTTATGCAGTTATTAAAACTGTTCAAAATATGATGATTGGACGAAAATTAGCGTAGTTCACAGCAAAATAATATGCTGACCTAACTCGTTTGTGTGCCACGCGTCCAACCATTTTTAGATAAGCTTTGTCATATGTACGATTGCATATAAGCTTACTGAGGACCCCGATCTCCCATGTGATATTTATTAGCTCATTTTTATATTTTAATTCTGTAGATATATATATAGATATTTAACGTCATAAGAAGAATGAATATATAATTAAGTAAAGAATTATAATTTTGTTAAGATGTGTATATAAGAAGAAGATAAAATGTGTATATAAAAAACAATATATTTAATAAAAGCTAGCTTAAAAAAATATGCATAAAGAAAATACTTCTTTAATACATTGAGTTTCATGTAAAGATTATTAAAATAGAATAATTAATCAATTTAACGGCCTCTTTGTTTAGCATTATTTCTTGACAAAACTTAACAAGAGATTTTTCGCTTAGCGCTTAATCCAGCCGATTATTAAAAATATAATTAAAATATTATTTCGCTTATATATAATGCTTCATTGTTTCAGAAATATAGCCACATAGACTGGGGAGTAATCACCTATGAAAAATTTTATATTTTCTTTTTCGTCTTTGACAAACAGCTGGGTACGAAAGTGAAGGCTAAGTCTCGGCCACTTGACTACCTCCTTGGTTAGCGCGATTCATTTGTGAACATTTTGCTTTTCTCTGTGATGTTCATTAATTGGTCAAAACATACAAAATATTTAATAACGCTTCTGTTAAATATTAACTTGATTGGTTGAAAAAAGTACTATAAACTAAATAATAATCAATTCTCTAATTAGAAAATTTCTCTATTTACACAATATACATATATGCAAATAGTAATTTTTTCTGTATTCGTTTAATTATGTGCTCAACCTAAGGAAACCTTTGCTAATTCTGCAAATTTATTCACAAAATATACAGATGTGGACACATCAATAAAGATAATTGCTCAGAAGGTTCAATTCTTTCTATCCACAATTTTAATCTTTTAAATTATGGTCAAAAAATGGAGTTTAAAGTAGAAATTTTGGAATTTTGTAGTAGGAAATATGAATTTTATTTGTTTGAAAAGGAATATAGGAGAAATGTAGTAAATGAAGATGGAAGTGATAATTACGATAGCTCTGCTTGTGACCTACTTCCTAACAAGAAAAAGAACGTACTATGCCACTGATAATGAAAGAAAAAGAAGAAGAATGAAAGAACTTCCAAAAACGTAAGCTTTGCAAAATTAAAAGAATCTACCTATAAAAAGTAATGCTTAGCAGATTAACCACAACGTGCAGCGGAATTGCTCCTAACACAACAGAGAGGCAAAGCAGTTTAGAAGATATTAATTTGGATCAATTCCTGAAAACTTCTAAGTATGAAGATACCGTGAAACAATTGGGTATCTATTATGGCATAGGTGAGGAAATCTTTGCTAAATTCTAACTAATTATATAAAATACATACACTAACATATCTGTAATATACAGTTAATGGTGTTTGTTTATTTATCTGTTTTGTTTTGATTTTTTGCGTAATCAATTACGCGAGTTCAACGTACGCTTTATATGAGTTAAAATGTAAACAATTATCAGTTAAAAAGAAAATAGCCTTTGTTTTTACTTGAAGTTAAACGTTAACTTTTACGCCACCAAAGTCCCGGCCTTTCCCGGTTATGAGCACTGATCAGGAGGTGGGTTCGGTGCATGATAGCGTTTACTGTGCAGCCGCTGTTTGGAGTTTATATCAAACTTATAGACGCATAAACGACGATCGTGGTAAATCCTGTCAGCTAGGCCAATCAACAGTGAAGTGCATGCGTGGCATATTGCAATGCTGGATAAAGCAAGCTTGTCGTGTCGAACTTTTCAAACAGAGGCAGTCCAATCAACATGCTCTTCATAGTAAATTTCATTTTCACACTGGGGAGGAAATATATCCCGACGATTTTCACAACCATTTGCAAATAGATGTGGTCTCTTTGTATATAATTTTTTTAGTTCAAATAATTACTTCGGGTTTGCAAATTATCTATACGCGGGTAAGTTAACATGAAAAATACTTTTTACATTATATTAAATATTTTTCTTAAAGGATGAAGTGGCTTTTATCGAAAATTTGGTATACTATGTCGAAAGAGCTTATCGTACATCAGATTAAAAGTAAGAAAACGTTTTATTTTTGACCAGGGTACAACAAAAAAGTTAGCTGAATGGATGATAATAGAACCAGATCAAAATCAGTGTTTTGGTAATTAAAAAAACGATATCCGGTTGTTGGTTGTTGGAGCTGGTCTATCTTACTGTGCTAGCACGCATGCAGATATATTTGTACAATTTCTTACGTTCCATCGAATTTAATGAATCTAAGGTTAATACGATCCAAATTCTATTACTAAAACTTTTACTTTATTACAGAAATGCCACTAAAGTAAAATATAGAGAGTAATAAATTATTTTATGAGTAAATTAAGTTTTTGAAGTGTTTAATTGCATTTTGGTGTTTTTGATGAATTTGGCGCAAGAATCAGAATTGTAAAAATTATATGAGCAAGACGAAGAATTGTAAAAATTGTATGAGCAAAGGGAAGCATTGAATTTTAAAATATTTGACCAACAAGATGATGACCCGTAAATTATGTGAGCAAGAGGAAGAAATTAAAGATTTTGAGGGTATGAGTGCGAATGGCCTCTATTTTTTATAGCTGTGATAATTGACGGCGTTTTCAAGAATAATAATGAACAAATTGAAGAATATCAAAATGAATTGAGGAAGTGTTTACACACCGATGCCTACAGTGATCCGATGGTGACAATGTATTACGCTCCAGACTGTGAAGGTTCTTAAATTAAGGCGCCTTCGCAGTCGCTTTTGCGAGGGTATTTGGTGGAGAGAGTTTCTCCATCTAGCCGAGCCTTACGAGCGTAAGTATCAACACTTTCATTTAAACGAACGGCAGAATGGACTGGAATCCAGACTAGAAGATATGCCTCAATATCAAAAATAGTTAACAATTTAAGGATTTCAAATACATACGTGCGAATCTTCTTTTTGGTTATGGTCAGGGCCGATCTACTCTCAGAAAAAACAACAAATTTTTTCATGCTAATTGATATGGCAAGATAAACAGCCTGTCTAATGGTCAGAAGTTCAATAAAAGTGAGAAAACATCATTCCCTGATATGCAACTCGAAGTCTAAACTGCGGAAAATTAATCTTTGTGCCGACTAGAGATGCTAGAGGATTAAGATCGTGCATATACTTTGTGGGGCCTTTATCAAAAAAACGATGAAACTTTAAATAATTTATGTGGCTGTCGGAAATTCCGTCAGCTCTGGCAACAATCATCTGAAAATAACATGGTCTAATGATCTTACCTCTCAGAATTTCTTTAACGGTCAGAAGCAAGTCCTAGGCAATTCATCAGAAATGACTCTTAGGATGGGAATCGGTCTGGAAGGTTTTAGTCCCATACATTGAAAACACCGTCAGGAAGGTTACAAGTGGGTAGTGGAAATTCTATTTTTGAGCGGATAAATGATTTATAAATCTAGGGTGCTTTTCTTGGGGAAAACCCTAACCGTAGGCAAGTCATAATATCGACTAAGTTAGTCTGAGCCTGAGAGTCATTAAGAGTTTCGGAGAAACGTTTTTGGACTGTTGGACAATCGATACCGAGATATTTAATGGAAGTTTTTCAGCTAAATTTGATCAATATGTGCATCAACTTGCTGAAACCCTTAGCAAATAAATCATCTTTGTTTCAATTGGGTTAAAACTGAGATTAAGATCATTGCATGCATCAAAAAAGATATTAGCTTTAGTGGTAAGGTTTTCAACTACTTCATTGAAATATTTGCTGGCTGAAATCAACAGAAAATCACCGACATATTGAACAATGTGTGTGTTGTCATCCTGAAGTTGATGCAGCTTTGCCGTATACAGATTGAACAGAACAGGGCCAAGATAGCTGCCTTGTGGAAGCCCTCCATTTCAGAACTCATAACCGTATAGAAATAAAGTTTAGAAACCAAAGACTCACATAAAGAGGCACATCAAATTCACTAGGATTCTTATCTATTTTCCTGAAATCAACACAGTCGTAGGCTTTATTGACATCAAGGGAGAGCATGACAAGTTTTCTTCCACCTTTTTTTCGCCAGTAAAATTTGCTTTTGTTTTTTTTTTTTTGTTTTTGGTATGTTGAATGGAGATGGACTAAACCAATAGATTTGTGGCTTATATGTCCAAAATTTGCTTTTGTTTGTCAATTGTTTGCTTTTAATTTTTTTGTTTTGACTCAGCTGTATGTAAATAAAAACATTTGTTTTTGCTTGGAATTTATTTTGTTTTCAATTTACAGCTGTTTTCCTGAATAAATGCAGCTCTAAACAACTAATACTAACCAGAATTACCAATATTAATACCAAATGTAATTTAAACAGCTATGGGGGAATGTATTTAACACAAGTTGTACCTACGTAATCGCAGAAAAAAAATGTTCATCAACTAAGGCTGAATGCTATCATCGTATACTGAATGTTAAAGGGTAGCACTTACGCAATTCCAAGCTAACCCAAAAACGATAACATGAGTTGACTTTCATATACGTATTTACCCTTCAGATTTGAGAGGGGTTTCTCGCACTTTTTGTGAATATATATAGAAAAGAAACTCAAAAATGAAACCTGTTTAACGCCATATGGAATTAATGCCCAACGTCCAAAGAGCTAAAAATAAAACATTAAATATCATGCAACTTACGTACGTAGCGATGTAAGTATGATATTATTCCAAATAGATATTTCGTTTCCTCCGTTCCGATTTATTTTTTAGTTTTACCACCGTTTCACGGTTAGAAGCGTCTGGTTGATATGTTTTTACTTTTCATAAAATGATTATAGTTAACTTGTGACGTAAGAACACGCAAATAAGTCCGGAAAAGATTTCATGTTCTCATTGAGGTTTTTCTACACGATAGGTTTGCTCAGTTTGAAAAGAAGAAGAAGTGCTTAGTTCAGAAGCACGTAACAAACAATAACTGCGTTAATTGCGTTAAAAATTACGATGGGTATCAAATCTTATGAGGTCAATATGGTTCCTACAGAATTGGAGTTTTCTGTTTTCACTAAAGACGAAATTGAACGTCTTAGCGTAGTTAAAATCGTCAGGGGCTTAAGTTTTGACATTTTCGGCCATTCATTGCCTGGTGGTTTGCATGATGCAAAGATGGGAGCACATGGTAAACAAATGCGACCTTGCGTTACATGTCGCCGCATGCAAGCATGTCCTGGACATCTAGGACATATTGAGCTTAATGCTCTTGTCTACAACCCATTTTTTTCAAAATTGGTTCAGAAGATATGTAACATATTTTGTATGCATTGTTACAAAATACAAATTCAAGGTAAGAATTATTTTATGTACGAAGAAGATACATTATATATGCATAATGCTGCATATTATTTACACTTATGAACATAAACTAAAGAGTATATTCTTAAGGCTGCAAACTATGGCTAAAATAAGAACAAGTTGGATATAAATTAAACTAAAAATAACAAAAAGGTATTCATTGTAAAAGGTTATCATAACTTAAAAAGACAAATTTTTAGACAGTTGTTTACGAAGATATGGTCACTTTCACCTTTAGATTGCATGATATTCAAAGTACCTAGGAAGACAACTAAATTTTCGTTTCGTGTTGCAAGTTTTTATTTCTACTTATGCCAAGGATGTATTAATTTTGTAGATGTTTGCAACACTCTGAATAAATCTACTCAGAAAGATTTTCCGAGGAAAACTGCCTGTTTGATGTCTGTCCGTACATTCTTTTGCTCAGTCCGCAAATAGCTGAGGAATAAAAGAAGCCATACTGCACCAATTTGTTCAATTTTTCGTATTGTCTTATGTAATGAAATTGTTTTAGGTCACGAGTTGGAACTTCTCAAACTCCAGCTGCAACTCATAGACGTTGGTTGTATTGTAGAAGGCCAAGAAATAGAGAATTTTAAAGCAAAAAGTTTTCTTGAAAATAAACTCACACAAGTCAAATTAGAAGACGGCAGTCATGTTCATTCCCGTTTACTTGAACTACGCAAACTTTTAGGCGAACGACAACGCAGTCTAAATAATGTGACAAAAACGTCCTGTGCTCTGCGTTCAGCAATCATTCATGCTACTGTTCAAGTTCCTACGTCTAAACGATGCATTCATTGCAAACAAACTTTACGTAAAGTGCGCTATTTACACCGCAAACTTGTTTGTTACATCAATGTTGCTGAAATTAAAGCAAAGTTGGTATAAGTAAAGCACCTTTAAATAATGCATAACAAGTCATAATATTTTGTAGATTTCCAGACATCCAAGAAACATGTGGCCAGTATAAGATGATTTTTGCTGATGAGATGCGCAAATACTTACGCCAAATATATTCAAATTACAGTGAAATTTTGGAACTTTTTTTTCCGGTCTTAAAGTTGGTTAATAAATCTAGAGCTGCAGAACATTGTCCTACAGACGTATTTTTCTTAGATACTGTTTTAGTCACACCTCCCCAAGCTCGTCCGTTTTATGTGTTGTTTAATCAAATTGTGGAACATTCACAAACATCGGTTTATCGAAGTATTATCGAAAATAATTCTGTCCTCAGAGTAATTGTGAACCACATAAAGTGCCCAATGGAAACCTTTTCAGAAGAATCTCGGGTAAAAAAGATATTCAAATTGTAATTGAAAATAATAAGTCAAAATATTGTAGGAAGTGTATTCCATGGCGAGAGGTAAGACATCTTTTGAAAAGCTGTACAATGCTTGGCAAGCATTGCAAACTTCCATCGATGTTCTTCTGGATGCAAGCATATCCCGAGAAGCTCCTCCATCAGCGGGTTTAAAACAAGTTTTGGAGAAAAAAAATGGTCTTATTCGCAAGCACATGATGGGGAAACGTGTCAACTTTGCTGCCCGGACCGTCATTACTCCTGATCCTAATATAAATGTGGAGGAAGTGGGCGTTCCGGATATATTTGCTAAGAAGCTATCCTATCCCGCAAAAGTAACACATTGGAACGTAGCTGAATTAAGAAAGATGGTGATAAACGGCCCAAATATTCATCCCGGGTAAACATCATTAAAAGGTTGTTATACAAACTTTTGAACTAATTTCCATCCACTACTGCTTAGAGCAAACTTTATAGAAGACGAAAAAGGTTATACAACATTGATTCCAGCTGACAATAATACCAAACGAGAAAGCATGGCCAAAATGTTGTTTAACTATCCCGAAAAGGGCGTGAAAATTGTACATCGTCATGTTTTGAATGGTGATATTTTGTTGCTGAATCGTCAACCTACTTTGCATAGGCCTTCTATTATGGCGCATAGGGCACGTATTTTAAAAGAAGAAAAAACTTTTCGATTGCATTATTCGAACTGTAAAGCTTACAATGCTGATTTTGACGGCGACGAAATGAATGCTCATCTACCTCAAAATGAAGTAGCGCGTTCTGAGGCGTATAATTTAGGTATATAATTGGGCTTAGCGTTCTAAACGGCATGTTTAAAGTTGCCATATTTACAGTAAATGTGGCCAATAATTACCTGGTTCCTAAAGACGGCACACCATTAGGTGGTCTTATTCAAGATCACATTATTGCTGGGGTAAAACTATCAATGCGTGGCCGTTTTTTTAATCGCGAAGATTATCAACAATTGGTCTTTCAAGGTTTGGTTCATTTAAAAAACGACATTAAACTATTACCACCTGCTATTGTTAAACCTATTCAGTTATGGTCAGGAAAACAGGTATTCAACAAATTTTATTAAATATCAAAGGTATTACATTATATATAACTTTAGGTTTTATCCACAATCATAATCAATATGACCCCCGACGGTTATGATGCCATTAGCTTGGAAAGTATTGCTAAAATAAGTTCGAAGGTAAGTTCGCTTTCTGACTTTTCTCTTTTATGTTCTTCCAATTTTAACAGCAACACGTGATTGGATATTTGCTTTTTTAATTCAATTGTGCGCCCTACAGAATAATGGGAGGTTTTAGCTTTGTTTTCTCCTCTCTAGCACAGAATTGTATACGCATAGAGTGCATTTGTTCTTGGGTAGCATCAGTTTTCGTTGTGTTTACCACTGTCCTAATGGGAATTTCTGTCCATATCATTCGTTGTCAAAACGCTTGAAGCCAAAAAAAATCAGATGGACCTTTCAAAGTAGGCACCTATTTGCGTAGTCGACGGTCAGAACCACGTCCAGACTATGTAAAAAAAATTGGTTGCGGCAGTTGATCCGAAAATCAATGCAGACCTTTTAAAATTTGTATTGAAAAAATAATGTGAGTAGTAGTATAACTGCGTCGGAAATAAAAAACCGTAAGTTTGCAGCCTACAAGATATATTAATCTAAAACGTAAAAATACTTCGCAGACCCAGCTGAAATCTTAATAAGTTTGAAGTTGCGTTTCATAAAATCAGATCCGTATAATTGGAAATATTTTCTCTTGCGGTTATTAAATCTTCTTAGTGGAACTATTATTCATTTCACAAGAGATAATGATTTTCAATACTTAAATTATATGCTTATTAGGTGTTTGCAAAAATGCTGCTCACTTTTTGATTTGAAAAAGGCATTGTTTGCGGAAAATTAGCGCAATATATATTAATCAAAATAGCTACCAACATTTGCTATAACATTTTACAATATTTTTGATAAGATGGCAATATCATGCCGACAGAACTTATTTCGGCAGCGATCCACTTTCGCACTTCTCCAACTTTAAAGATACGTGCGCCAGTCAGTCAATCTGCACCAATCTGAACAAGTCGTAATCAGGAGGCGCTTTGTCTGATAAATTCGCTGGGTGCGGCAGAAGTGTATCCTGGACAACAATTGGGACAAGTGGCCAAAAATGTCATTTTCAGACAATTCGCCAGACAATTGGGATTTGATGGAGCAGCATTACCATAAGCCTTTGAACGTGTTTGGTGGGCTTCGGTAGCAGATGTTTTCAAATAAACAGCAAAAGTAGTGTATTTGGAAGAAGAAGAATTTTTAGTGCTCCATGATTAGCATCGGCGTACGCTGAACAAATCAATATTTTCATACATTTGTACACTGATATTTTCCATTTATTTATTATTTATATCTGTAGAAGTCGCTTCTATTTTTGCAAACACCTAATGTAAATAATTTGTCTTATTGTAGTGTAAACAATGTGTTTCAGGACACAACACACATAACTATATACGTAAATAAAAGCCTTTCATCTTTTGATTAGAATTAGGAAAAACTAATGAGGCTCTGACTCCTAATGTTAGAATAAAAAAATATGCTCATCTTCGAATGGAAATTGACACAAGCTAAAAATTCATATAAATAATTTTTAGCACTGGAAGTCGAAATTCACCGGCAAAACTTTAACACCCGGTGACTTGATGTCTGAAAGCGAAGTTATAATACGCAATGGTGAACTTTTAATTGGCGTGTTCGATAAACAGCAGTATGGAGCTACTTCTTTTGGCCTAATTCATTGCATGTTTGAGGTCTGCTACTATATTAATGCGGATTTATTTGGATTATTAAATGTATGTTTACAGCTGTATGGTGGCAGGATTTCAACAAAGGTTCTTACTGCTTTGGCCAAATTATTAACAGCTTTTCTGCAACGCGAAGGATTTTCTTTGGGAGTTAAAGATATATTGGTAACTAATGAAGCTGATAATTTAAGACGTGAAATTATTCAAGAAAGCCGATTTATTGGTAATAAAGCGCTAACGAAGGCTTTAGATTTGAAAGATGTGCCTCCTCACGATGTTCTTTCGCAAAAAATGGAAGAAGCCATTTTGAAAGATTCTAAGTTCCGTGTCGTGATCGATCGGAAATACAAAGGACTATTAGATAATTATTCCAATGATATAAATAAGTAAGTAGATTTTGATCGAATTAAGGATGTTTAGTTCGGAAATATTTGTGTATATATTTTAGAACTTGTCTGCCAAACGGACTACTAACAAAATTTCCCGATAACAACCTCCAAGTAATGGTTTTGTCTGGAGCTAAAGGATCCATGGTAAACACAATGCAAATTTCTTGCTTATTGGGTCAAATCGAATTAGAAGGGAAACGACCTCCTTCGATGATATCTGGCAAATCGTTACCAAGTTTTGCTGTTTTCGAAACTTCTCCAAAATCTGGAGGCTTTGTCGACGGCCGGTTTATGACCGGTATACAGCCACAAGATTTCTTCTTTCATTGTATGGCAGGCCGAGAAGTAAGCTTCTTATAATATTTTCAATAAATGAAATGTTGAAAATGTACGTTGTGTTCTTTAGGGTCTAATCGACACGGCTGTAAAAACTTCACGTTCGGGTTACCTTCAAAGATGTCTTATAAAACACTTAGAAGGATTGAATGTCCATTATGATTTAACGGTGCGGGATAGCGACAACACCGTCATACAATACCTCTATGGAGAAGACGGCTTAGATATCTTAAAATCAAAGTTCATCAATAGTAAGGTTGGACTACAATTTTTATTTGCAAATGCCGGAGCGGTATTGCAAGCTAAAGAAGTAATCAATCTTAAAGATGAGGATTCTATTAATAAAATACAGCATCACAATAAAACACACCAGTCATGGTTGAAAAAATGGGATAAAATATCTGGAATACCTCTAACAGTTCATGTTAAAAATTTATCTGCTTTTACAAAATTTTCTGCTGAATTGAGATATGAGCTAGAAACTGATAACGGTAAAGAAGTAAATCCAAAAACTGGCAGACGTCGCTTGGATGAAGCTATAATTAAATTATGGAACGACGCAGACAGCAACATAAGTGCAATTAAAGAGCTATACAAACGAAAATATGTTCGCCGGCCCGATCCTACGAATAATTTATATCGGCAAGATCTGTATTATAGTGCTGTTTCGGAAAAACTGGAGGGCTTATTTAGGGAATTTAGTGAAAAAAATCCTGATCGTAAAGGGATCATAAATGAAATTATATGTATTAAGAATATGGAGTCTTTGGCAAATCCAGGAGAACCTGTAGGATTGCTTGCCGCACAATCAGTTGGTGAACCATCTACCCAAATGACATTAAACACGTTTCATTTTGCTGGTCGCGGGGAAATGAATGTAACTCTTGGAATACCCCGCTTACGTGAAATTTTAATGATGGCAACAAAAAATATCAAAACACCTTCAATGGACATACCAATTAAATGTGGACAAGAAAAGTCTGCGGAAAATTTGCGCATTTCTTTACATAAAATTAAATTAGCTGATGTTTTACAGTGTAAGTGTGGCAGTTTTAACATCACTTTTGTCAGCGTATTCAAATGACTTTTTAACTTTGCAGATGTCCAGATCAAAACGCATTTCATCTTGAAACCAGAACGTTTCCGAAAATATGAACTGATGTTTCAACTTTTGCCACATAAAAATTGTAATGACGGTCTTTGTGTTGAACCAAAGCAAATCTTGAAATTTATTAATGAAAGTTTTCTTCCCATGCTCTTCAGAGCAATAATCAAATCAACGAAATTTAAAGCCTCTTTGTAAGTACACAAAATTGCAAAGAACGGTATTGTAAGGAATATTATTTTTGAACTCACGGCAACATTTTGAGTAGAAATTTGTATGTGCATTCTATACCCAAGACCGAGGGAAGGCGGTATTCTTATTTTATCATAATCTTGCAAAACGCAAAAGAAAACTTTAGGCACCCTATAAAGTATCAGCTTCATCAGCTTCAAATTCTGAATCGATCTAGCGATGTCTGTTCGCCCAAATCTGTATGAATACGTGTCGTTGATACTCACGCGCAAAATCTACTACAAGTTGGCAGAAATATTGGAAGCTCTTACATGCAGTTTGATATAGAAAATGGGCGGAATCTATCAATGGATAGGTCTACCGTGACGCGTGAACTGAAACCACCTCCGTCTGTCTAACCAAAAATTTGTAGTCTCATCCTCATTGCTCATAAATTATAAAGATCAGAAGACTGAAATTTTCTATATATATTTTATAGGGAGCCCTACTATTAAAGATCGCCCACGGCTTCAAAGATGTATATTATATATTATAAGTGATCAAACGGTTTTGCGGTTTTTTTCTAATTATTAATCACTTGCCACACAAGATAGTTTACACTAACACAAATTTTATAAGTGATCAATTTTTGATTTTTATCATTTTTTTTCTGTATGTCACTCATAAGGTAAACAAGACAGAACCTTGAAAATTTTTATGTAAATTCTGAACTCCAAGACTCCATTGTCTTCAATTGAACAAGTCCGCTCATTATTAAAACGCAGCAGATATTTTTGCATCCAGGAGAACATTTACAACAAATATTACACAGACTGACACTGTTAGGTCGACTCAGAATTTGATGCATATCATGAGTATAATTACTCCTTTTTCTAGCAAACTTTTAGACAAAATGAAGATGCCACAATCTTCCGAAGGTGCTCCCGAAATTAATCATGAGCAAATTAATTTAGAAAGCAAACAAACAGCATTCAGCCTTATCTGTTTTTCTACAGGCATGCGCACTGATCTTAAGGGTTACACAAGTAAATATATTCAGCAAGGGCTTTGTTCGGCATGTGCTCTTAGACGAAAGAAAGAAAGAAAAATTAAAAGAAGGATCTTTTAGGATTAGCACTTTGTTTCTTGATTGTTTTTTATTTTTGAACAGTGCTTGAAACTTAACGATATTTTGAATTTTGTTTTGCATAGAGTCGACGCTGTTAAAAAAGATTCCGATGACAAGGATAACAAAACTAGACATGCAGATGATGAAACTGTTGAAGATGCAATGAATTATCTTTCAAATATTTGGGAACCTGGAACGAATAACATTGGTTTTTCAGATGAAGAGCAATCTGGTGAAATGGATGCCACAGCGTTCAAACTAAAAGCTCGCCAGTTAGATGAAAATGAGTATGATGAATCCGATCGACCTGAACAGCTTTATGAATCTGGTGGTAAGCAGCGATCGCTACATAAAAATAAAATTATTTAGTGCAACAATTGCTAATGTTTTTAATAGTTCTCAAGTAGCTTTTAATTTTCCTAAATTTATATAGATGTATAAGATGATTTAGACCTTTTTCGTTTCAAATGATAAAATTTCCTGCAATGTGATATGTTAGTGTCCGTTCCTAAGCATCCATCACTCACTTTGTTATCATCACGGTGATGAGAAAGTGCAGCAACTAAGCAGTAATTACTAAAAATCGCATTTCCTTTATTAAGGAAAGCATTTTCCATACTTCCTTTGCAAGTAATCGTATTTTTTCTCTTTTAACCTCGTATGTTGGCTTTTTATAGCTGGGATATAACACTTCCAGCTTAAAGAAATTGATTCGAAATAATTGCAGTCTCGTATATCTTTTTACTTTAACTTCATTGTTTGTTGGGATGTAGTCTTAAAATGACAAGAAATTTTGCGTGCGAGAAAATAACTAGCACGGGTCAGTGCGCAACTCATTTGCCTGAATAAATCCTTCGATCTGTAATCGCGTTCTGTATGGCCCATTCTTTCGACTGATTGTCATGAATGTTTCAATTATACCGAAACTGAACTCTGCTCTTTCAGGCCGGAATACAAGCAGGCAAGTATGATGGGCACCCTGAGCATTAGCAAATAACGATGGTTACGAATTCCATTGTGAATAAAGCAAATTCAGTAAGCGCTTTCTTTACTACGATAGGTCATCGAGATCATCTCATGAGTCCAGCTTCGAAATTTTTGTTTTGTACTATCTTAGTTTTACCTTTGGATGTTAAAAAGGGTGAGCTGCATCAGTTCTTTCCTCTCAAAGCCTTTATTTGTTACTCTTGGCTTTCTGCTACACGGATTTTTGAGCGAAACTTACCAACTCGTCTGCATATGAATGTGGTACAAGTTAAAGCAGTTGAAATAATAAGCTGGTAGTAATAGTAGTAATAGCGTAAAGAACATACAAAGTAGTCTAACAGTATGTATCTTTGTTGTTGTAGCTTGGACGTAAGTGTGCATGTACACGTACTATATCAGTCTGTGCGTAAAAGTGTTGGACTTAAGAGTAGTACGGGTATATGTCAATAATAGATTTGGAATTGAAATCGTAACGGTTAAAAATTGGGTATGTTGTTTAAAATATTGTGCAGCTTTGAATAAATTGTTTCTGTTTTAAGAATGGGGCTCATAAGAGTACCCCACTTGTGTGAAAAGAGTGTCATGATAGAGTAACAGGACTAAATCAGTAAAACGTGGTCTTTATTGTTTCGGTGTTAGTCAACACAACATTAAACTTTCGTGATATTCCGACAATTAGCTTATTAGTTGTTCCAGTGACGCTATTTGTTTTCTTAACACGGTTGACCAGTCGCTCGACCGCAGATTGTCCTTGGCGAGCATGGAATTATTTATTTTTCACGAAAAAGAAATTAATGACAAAGACATATGACTCAGACATAAACATTATTGTAACGCGCCGCTCTTCAAACGGGATGACTTGGTTTGTTTCGGCAATAATCGATGGCAGGTAAAGTGCAGTTGTTTAGCTTGCCAAGTTTGTTCGCATTTGTGATCTTTTTAAGTACTTTTTCCTGTTACTTGAGACCTGATGCCAAATGTTTGGATTTCCGGCAATATACATATATATTTATATATATATACATATATATTCTCCTTTTTTCGGAAAATTTGTCTATGTTACAGCGAGGTAATGCAGGCACGTACAATAAATAGATAAATGCGAAATATCGCGGTTGAGTTTATAATTGACGTAATAAAATATGAAAAGAAATCAGCACAGCACAGATATCGCGACTCATTTTATTTGTTAGCGATTGACATATGGATTTGTAGATCAAATATTTGTCCTGGTTCAACTCGACTTAATCGTTTTGTAAAATTGTAAATGTTGACTTCCGCAGATGTATTTCGGAGTTCCCTATACCAAGAAGGCCGTACTCATTAGGCAAGTTTATTTTCAGCAGAATCCAGAGTGACAGAGTGTTCAGGAGAACCTTAGTAGTGAATTAGTAGCCTGCATCTCCAGAATTTCTTTTTCGACAGGATTGATCGTGTTTATTAAGGAATGTGTAGTATATTTCAAAAGGGAGTATAGAGTGATGGACTACTGGTCTCTGACATTCTGCCTTCTTCCCTAGGAACAGCCTAGGCACCGTCAAGCAATTTGGTATAATTCTACGAGTGATGGACTAATAGTCTCTGCAACTCAAAATTTTTTCCTTTAGACGGGATGAATTTGTCGTCCGCTTGTCCTAATTGTTATTCTCCTAACGAAAGACTCGTTTAATTTACACTTATTTCGCTGACTGGTAAAGCATAATTAACGAACTGCCGCTTTGCTTTAGTTTGGAGAATGGGTTTAATTGCAGATTTATGGAAGCTAGTGTTGGCTTGCATGCATTCAGAACTATTAAATAGATAAATACTTGCGCATCAAATGTGCTGATACCAAGATGTTACTAAGATAATTTGAATATTGAACGCAATGATTGCGTTATCGTCTGCAGACACTGTTTGCTTGTTTTCGTAAAAGAAAGGGGTAATCACGTATCTAAAAGGCCAAATTTCAGTCACGACCATACCGATAGTTGATAAGCATCTTTGCCCCGATGGCGTAAGACTCTGGTGTCATTTTCGTTGCTATCATTGATATGTAAATGAAAAAGCAGAACATTATATTAAATTATAGCTGTCAAAATCCGAAAACTAACAACTGGGTTCCTGACCACCAAACAAACGACTAAACTATTAATAGAAGAATATTTTTTGTCTTATTTTTAAGTGTATATGCGTATATACTTAGTATATACATATACCTACTTATCCATACACTGCATTTGTCCGTAGATTTATTTCAGTGAGCATGAAATACATTAATTAATAAAATAAAAATAATAAAATATTTGTAGTGAAAGTGTTGTCGCAAAAATATTGTCAGAAACGATGAGTGAATGATCAACGATGTGCAATGGCTACTTTTTACTCCCCAAAAAGTGGTTTCTCACTTTGGTGAAGAATACCAACAATTTTGCATATATCTATAAGTTTGGGAGATATGGACTTCACTTAGGTGCTAGTATAGACCACAGGCAATTATTCTTGAAAATCACTGGAAAATTTGTTGTACCATCGAAAACAAAAATTATTGTTAACATTATTTTTATTGCCGAAAAAAGTTTTGGAGATGATATTGGTAAATTTTTATTACTATAATTTTCATTTTTCCAGGCCCTCGTTTGGTAGGACTTCACTGAGTACTAAGCCTTTTGTATCACATCGCGCATTTGCGTTTTTTATGTACTTCCCTTATTTGAAGAGATCGGCACTTATATTGAACGTTTGGGTACAAAATTTACATAGGTGCAATGCTTATAGATGGAAGTGTTTATTAGTTTCTCTAGTCACTTAGTTCTAACAGTGATAGGGACAAATTTTGCTACCAAGGCCACATTGTCCCGTGAAATCAAAAAACTTCTAGTAGTCTTCAAAGAGCTAGACTTACTGGTCACCTCTTTTAGTATGTCTGGACACCACTTCTTTCAAATCTTCTATTGTTAAGGAACTTAATTCGTCTTCAGGCAATTATTCTTGCTCGTTTTCTATGTATTTTATAATGTTGTTTAAACAGGGTTTGTATAAGTATTTCAAATAACAATTCGCATTCCTTAATTTGTTATAAAAACCTTAACAAAACTTTAAATTCCCCAAACACGTAGAAGGGACTCTTGCGTCTAGTTCCAAAGGATCAGTCTACAAAAACCTAATATATGAGACGTATGTTTAATATACATATTTAATAAGCTTGTCTTACTGTTAATATTTCCATTAATTCTGTGAAAGTGATTCTCTGATCTGGCTTTCTGACTGGTTTCGCTTAATTTTACTTTGCAACCATACAAATTTACGTCGTCTTTTTGTAGACAGACACGACATATTTGTTGCAAATCTTCCAAATTTAAATCCATGCTTTTAAGCAATACTTCATGCAAATATTTTTTCCTTTTTGGTTGTTGCTCAGTAAAGTTTGTTTTTGTTTGTTAATTTTTTTTAAATCTTTTGTTCTGGCTTAACTACTGCCAGTAAGCGATTTTGCTAGGAATTTATTTTAATTTCAATTTACAGCTGTTTTCTCTTATCAATGTGACGCTTACAACAACCAATACTAACTCTAAAGTGTACTTAACAGTTGTTGTGGATTGCAAAAAACCCATACTCATCAACAAATGCTGAATAGGCGATGCGAAACCAACCGAGAACATAAGCTAACTGTCAGATACGTGTTTAAATCCATGTTAGTGTTTGTTTACATAAATGTTAATGGAGAAGTGCAAAACTTATAAAGTGAAAAAGTTCTTTAAAATTGACTTTTTGAAACAAAAAAAGGGGAAAAAATTTAATTTTGTCAATTTAATTTAATTATAGTTTCCTGATGTTTTTCCTATGATGAATAACTATTGCATAGACTAAAGTGTTTATTTATTTATTTATTTTTTTTTTGTTTGTTTAGAGATGGATTGGACCAGTTAAGTTAATGTTAGATCCATAATCCAGAAACGAAGTTGAGAGCGATTGATGAAAAAATTTAAGCATAGGTAGACTGATGTGGCAGAGTGTTCGCATTGAGAGGCTCTGTTCCGCTGTCAATCCATAAATCACCGTACTTGGTACTGTACTGTCAAGATCCGGCTAATAATGCCGATAAAAGAAAAAGTGTAGGCGATTCGTGATTGTAATAGAAATACTAAATGTAAAATTAGAATGAAAACTCAGCTGATTTGATAAAGGCAGTCAGTTGCTTCAAATGCCTAAAGTTACCAGCACGAAAAATTTCATATAGATTGTTATACAGGTTAAATATACTGAAAGATTGTCTAAGGATGTTAAACCTCCTGCACTCAAAAATAAGGTGCTCGGCAGACTCAGTAATATTGCAATCCTCACAGATGTCAGAGGAGGAGACTT